AACATGGCGTAACATGGCGTACCATGGAGGCGATTCTCAGGCGCGACTCCCAGCGCTCTCACTTGGGCTCGCGGCCCTATCGCATTTTGTCTGGCTGTCGCCGCGCGCTTCCAGACACGGCGGCTTAGATGAGACAGTGTCAGCGCTCCCGTCTCGCTGCTTTGACCGGCGGCGTCGACTCGTGCCGCGTTTGTTGGACTGCGCCAGAAGCAAGAAGAGAAGGTTCAGAGACGCCACACAGACTTCCGGATGTCCTTCCCCGGCCGGTCCACTGCCTATGCTGAATCACCTCTCTGGCAGCCCTGTCTGCCCTCCATGCCTCCCAGCCAACCGGGTTACTGGCTGTCGGGATCGCAGTGCACTTGCCTTTGAGCGTGGCGGCTGATGTTTGACGGGACATGTTCATAGCAGCTTGCTTTTGTGGTTTGATGAACCGCAGCTGTCTTGGAGCCTTTGCTTCCGCGTCGTTGCTTGTGACGGGGTTGCGCCACGTGGGATGGGCTGCTCCTGCCTCAACCAACCCTCGCGTGCGTGGCGATGAGGAAGGAGCTGCCCTCGCCGCAGCCCAGCACCACCATCACATCTGCGGCGTGCAAACAACTATGCCTCTGCACCGCGGCCGCCAAAGCAATTCGCCAGCAGCATCGCCAGGTGCCGTAATGAGAGCGTTGCCCGGCTTGCGGTGAGTGGGTCCGGCGCCACGAAAATCTCGCCTGCGGTTTGTTCTGGAAAGCCTCTGGAAGGAAGAATGAATCGCCCGCTGAGTCGCCCTCACTCCCAGGCTGTCCCTGATCATCGCAGACAAACTGACACAGAATGCGCACTTATTCACGACCAAGAAATTTGGCCGCCGGTCGTTCTCAGACACGTCGCATTCGCGGATCACTGCAAGCCTTCCGCGCCTCCAAGCACACGGATGCTGCATGCGTTCGACGTCCCGGGATCATGACCAGCAAGGTTTCGCGCACAATCGCTTGCTTCTCCAAAAAACCTACACGTCGCAGCCTCGTTGACGCACTCGCTCACCCACCACGGAGCCCAGCCGTCGCCATGACGAATTGTTTCTGGCACGGAAGGAACGATGACATCGCTCTTGCCCCCTTGGGATTCCTCCGTATTACAGCCCGCCGTCCATCGTAAACACATTTGCCAGAATGCAGCCGTTATGCCAGTCCAATAATATAATTCGCAAGCAGCACCAACCCTGATTCGCCGTCCTGGGTATCGACAGGGGTCGTGTGCTTCACAATCAGGCTGAGACGCGCGACAAGGGCATCCCGTCCTTATCCACTAGCCTCACGCAGAGACATGCCGAAAGCCACGCGACACCGCCCAGCGCTCGACCAGCATGTTTGCTCATACCGTCTTGTGTACAGTACTGTACTGAGAGATCGCTGTCTTCCGCTGATACCTGCGCCCGTCGTACGTTGGGCTGCCACTGCCTCACGCCTATCAGTGCGGGAGCGTTGAGGGCTCAAACAGCGTTCGCGATCTTCAGTCCATGCTCGCTCAACTCTATCCTCGCGATCGTGATTCACAGCCATCATCCGATAACCAGTGCAGCGTCGTCACACATCGACAGGGTCTGAACTCCGTCAGGTCATCTTCCTCTCAACGTCCGTCCAAGCCACCGACGTTTTACTGGCAGCATCGCTGTCAATTCCGACCGCCTTGCAATTTGACAGGTGTTTGACGGATTTCTCCACAGAAAACTTTGTCGAAATTGTGATCGTGAGTTAGACCTTGCGGGGAGGAGGGAAAGTGGGTCCTGGAACGGCTTTTGGCACTTCCTCTTTGAGCGCGCTACTGCAATCTGCGTGCCAGTCCCAGCGATGAGAAGCGAAGCAAGGGTTGTCATCTCCAAAAGGATCATCGCGTACAAAGAGAACCCTGTCTACACGTGGAATTCTGCTCTGTGTGGACCTTCGCCTGACTACTGGAAGAGGGCCCGCGAGCCGCTTCGCCGATGTACCAGCGCATTCATGCCGACTCAAGGCCAAGTGTGCGCTCTACGAACTTTGCGCTGCTGCAGAAGGAGAGTTCCATGAGCACCGTCGCACTAGCTGTCATGTTGACAGGTACTGGCTGGGGATTCGGTACCATTAGCCGGCGGAGCCATCTACACAAGGCAATTCAGCTTTCGAGCGTCGCATTTCATAGCGTTTCACGCAGCTCTATTCGGGCCTTACAGTGTAACGTAGGAACTACCTTTGAACGTCTAAGCAGGCAAGACGTTGCGCCGGGTTATTGCGAGGTCACTGCTGAAAGACCTGCTTCATCTCGGATTTGTCGCAGAGCTCCCCGGACGCCAGCGTGAAAGCGATCAACAAGGATGACTTCACATCCACGTAGCCCATCACTCGTCCCTGATGATCTCCTTGCGCTGGCGCCCAAATCACTACTCTTTGGGCTACACAGTCCGAGGCCGCCTCTCCCCCGATCGTGTTCCCTGAGCAATTCCGCGTGCCAGCCCCGCGACATTTCTCGCGACTCAATGATTGTCGCACCAGAAAAATTTCCGCCGTCGATCCGGAAGTATGTACCATTTCGCATCATTCCGCTGCTCCGGTACTCTTGTGCGCCGTCTTGAAGCTCGCTACGCCAGGCCTCGTGCGTCATCTGGCTGCCCTCCAATATGCTAGCATCCGAGGCTGACTGCAGCTGCCGAACACCAGTTCCTCTGCGCTTCGCCGACATGTCCACGTGTGCAGTCAGCACTACCAGGTAGGTTCAAGGTACGCTGCACAAACAGAAACCTTCCTCAGCTTTGTATCGACTGCAACAGAGTTCTTCGATGCACACTAGGAAAATTTCAGTGACATCAGCTCTTCTCAGACACACGATGCCGTTCCACATGCGCGATGCACATGTACGCTTCCGGAACACGATGGATAACCTGCCACTATCGATACACTTTCTTGTTCCTCCGATATCCCAAAAGAATGCGCCGGCTGCAGCCCTCCCAGTAACGCCAAACTCTAGTTTCGAATTACTCCTCTTTGTACTTCGGATGGGAATGGCGTTCCACTTGCGATGGTTTTTGGCTGCATGCGTTACCCGTCGCGTCCCCAATCATCGTGTCGGCAGCTTTCCTTATTCCCCATCCCCCCGGTCGGTCAGCCCAATTGCACCGGTTGCAGGTTTACGGCAGAGCTACTGCATTCGTACGATTACGCCTTCCATGTGGCATGAACCCAGGACTCGGGTTCTCGATAGACATGGGCATGGCACCAAATACGGCATCTCCCTCGCGGTACCAATATTCAGGATTCCCTCACACCACCGCCTAGTGAGCGAGCTTTACTGGTCAAACTACCATTCCATGATGACATGAAGCGGTCACCATTACTGCACGTAGCTCTTCCGGCTTGCTGCTCAACACCAACGACTGACCTCAGCTGTTGCGCTGATATAGTCGTTCCGCGACGCTCCGCGCGGCCCATCCATACACCAAGCAGACTACGGCCCGTCTCACGCGCGCAACATACCACAAGCCTTGCTCGACTCCGCAACACAGTCAGCACGCGAACATCGGTACACCTAGCATGGCCGAACATGTGTAGGATGCGTAGTAGAGGCGACGGTCGCTCTTATCTCTCCTGCATCACCACTCATCCCCACCCTTAGTAATCCAACCTTTCCACCGCGCAGTCAGCACGCTCACTCCGGTACACCTAAGCATAGTCGAACATGTGTTCCCGAGACGCGCGCGCGCACATCCATGATACAGCGCCATCGCGCTGAGTAACGTAGCTTGCTTGCTTGCTTATTTTTGGTTCGGCGCGCTTCGGGTAAAAGCAAGCATACAGTATTGTGCGACCGGCATCCCGTAAACCAAGGCGCCGGGTACAGGACGGCGTGAGATGAGCCGGTCTGACCAACATTGTTCTGGAATGCTTGAGGCGGCGATGTGGTACTCAGCCTTATGGTGTTGGTAAGCGTGCGTCTTAAGGGTAAGGGTGAGTTGATATGTGGGAAAGGAGGTAGGCATCGGGAGGAAAGGAGGGCTATATGGAGATATTGCAGGGCGAGTCGACCATGTCGCCATGGAATGTTACTGTGAGCTGGCGGCTATACAGTCGAGAAGTTATATCCGTCTTCGTCTATTTTGGTCAACGGTTGGCTGTACCTGCAACCTCTGATATAGGTCAAATTTCCTTTCGTTCTGTCCTCTTTCTCTAGTCTCGCATCGCTTCTATTTCAAGCGTTTATTGCCCCTCTCTGGATATTCGTCGCACCTATAGAACGTGAATCGTGTTGACTTTGACTCTATTGAGATTCAGAGGAGAGATATGGTGATATCTAATCCTAGACCAGGCTCTGTGGGCGCGCGGTTTCTGGGAAGTGCGTGAAGTACTGCACCTGGTGCCTTACAGAATGCACCTTGTTTACTGTTTACTAATCACGCAATACACTTGATGCGCATTCTTTCACTGTCAATTTTATCCCAAACCGGTTCGCCGCGCGTGCCCACCGCTCGCTGCTATGTCCACCCGAGATAACATGTTGGACTGGAAGACTCATGACTTGATCAACGTCAAGATACCAAATCCATGAGATCGTTCCAGAGCATCGCGGGTCTCGCGGGTCTCGCGAGTCTCGTATGTAGCACTCTCATCGAAGTACCATTTGGCGATTCCACTCTTCACAGCACTCCACGATTGAACACCATCCGCCCTCGTACGAACTATGATCCAAGCAACATCGCCAACGCGGAAACATGGAGCACATACGCTACAAAAGGCGGATGGCTCAATTGTCTCCTGGATATGACCGACTCGGAAGCAGGCAAAGCATGGCCCGACCCCTTGAACCGGGTACCCACCACTGCAAGCAGTGAATGGCAAGGCACTCTGCAAGGTAAGCCATTAGGATCCACCCCTCCTCTCTTCTCTTCGAAAACGTCGAGCCTCTGCTTACCTCATCCGCAGAGCAGCTCGCGACCTGGAACTGGCACGAGGCCGAATACCACCAAGGCCACCACTGCGATTTCACCAATGATGGTAATGGGTACAAATCGCATCGGCGTCGCGCTTGCCGCACTCAACCCAAACGCCAAACCGGCTACCGAAGGAGGAAAGAACAGGGGCTACTCAGTTGAACACCTAGATCCTGAGGAAGAGTACGAGAATGGAGAGCATGTACCGGCCAACGACCAAATGTACGCCGTGGGACGAGACACGTACACCGCTACAGGAGGGCACTACCGCTTCGTTATCAACGCAGAGCAAGGAGCGCTCTTCGTCCAGTCCCTCGACGCACCCCGCCACGCTGCAACGCAGAACTGGGCCCATACGCCCCGGCCCAACGAACTTCCCCGTCTCCAGTTCGCGTCAGATGTCTTAGCGGCTTATTGGTCAAGAACGCCTAACCCGAAGGGCTTGAAGTATTACTTCGCGAATAATGTGGTTAACGAGGAGACATTACCTCTGATCAACAAGATACTGCAGGAGAGTGGGTATGACAGGATACCGGAGTGGCCTGGTGTACGTGTTAGTGCGGATAGCGAAGAAGGGACTGTTTTGGTTGGTAGGTTGGCGCTGTCTCTTTTCTCCTAGGTTATGATAATACGAAATATCATACCCTCAATACCTTGAGAACAACCAACTGTCTCTTACTAACACTACATCAGGCTCACCCATAGGCGCAACACTCGCGTACCTCCTTCTTCAACACAAAGCCGCACTCGGCGATAAGCGCATTACCGATATCACCATCTTTCGAGATTACAAAGCGAATCCGTCCTTTGAGGCTGATATCCAATTGCTCTTTCGTATTGAAGACGTTCCGGAGGATGTTCTAAGGCCTGATGATATGGATACGGGGGTTGTGGTTTTGGATGTACACGCGGACATGGATAAGGAGGACGTCTTCAAGAGGAGGGATAGTGTGGTGGAGGCGGTTGATCTAGGGGGGAATGTGAAGAGATTGCATCAGGTGAGTTTTGATACGGGCGGTAGGACAGCGGTGGTCAGTTATGGGGTCGAGCAAGTTTGATGACGCCTTCGGAGTGTGCATTCACTCCACACTCGACGCCCTTGGATAATCGCCACTCGCCGCGTATGCTTTCTTATCAACGCCTGTATCCACTTATACAGGCGCACTTGCGACTATGACGAAGCGCTTGGTGTGTTTACTCCTGAATTCTCTCGCTTTGAGTAATGCAATGCTCAACCAAATTCACGCCAATACCCTGAGAAACGAAATCCGTGTGTCATATCAGCTATGAAGATTGCTACACTACTTCTTACCGTGATCTGTGTACCACTGGTCTACAGCAAGCATGTCGAAGTGTCCTTTGGCTCCTCCAACTCCACAGCCTTCCCACCAAGCCTTCTAGATCGTCGCGATAGCGCAGTAAACATCCCATCAACCAACGATAAAGCCTCCGCCTCCGAACCGAATCTAGTTCAAACTGCTGTGGAATTCGACCCCACCGACTACGCGAACGATGCCAGCTGGGACAAGTACAAGAAGAAAGGCAATTGGCTGCGTTGCCTTATGGAAATGCCCGACGAAGTCGCGGGACGAGAATGGCCCAACTATCTAAACCGCAATCCGCCATCAGCGGCAAGCCAGTGGAAAGGAACGCTTGAAGGCAGGTTCTATCCATTCCATTATCATCCATATCCAGCCATTGACACTGACCTTCATCTAGCCGAGCTAGAGGATTGGTACTGGCACGAAGCCTACTATGACCCAGAAATCAACTGCGACTTTTCGGACGACTTCGCAAACTTAGAGATTAATAACAGGATCGAGGCTGCGCTGAATAAGCTCGGATTGGATACCAAGCCGGTGGAATTTGGTGGCAAGAACAAGTGTTACTCTATCGAGCACATGGATGAGAACGCGGTGGACGATGATGGTGATGACCTCCCGGTAGACATGCAGACTTACTTCCCTGACGACGACGACGACAAAGAGTATGGCGTGAGTATGCCAGGAAGAGAGATACGGCATACATTGACAGTTTGGCTGACTATACGTAGGCCACTGGAGCTTACTACCGCTTCGCTTTTAATGCTGAACAAGGAGGTAAGACATCCTTCCACCACCACCACCGCCACCCACTAACCCCCCTCTCCAGCGATCTACGGCCACAACTTCCTCGCCCCCTGGCCCGCCGCCATGGATACCTACGCCGAAGGCTTCCCAGCGGACCAACTCCCTCTCCTCCGCCAAGCCTCCGACATCATGGCCGCCTTCTGGCTGCGCAACCCCAACCCCAAAAACCTAAAATACTGGTTCGGCAGCAACATCATCAACACCGAAACCGTACCCGTCGTCAACCGGATTCTCGTAAGCAAGGGCTATAAAGAGATACCGGAATGGCCAGGCGTCCAAGTAGACGAGTCCAGTGAAGAGTATCTCGCACTCCTAGGCACACCCGTCGGCGCAAATAAAGCGTTTATGCTGCTCCAACACAAGGCGGAATTGGGGCTCAAACATATCCCAAGTATTACGATTTTCCGGGATACAAAGGATCCCAATCGCCCGGACGATGCGCCGGCATACCAGCTTTTGTTTCGGATTGAAGATGTACCGCAGGACGAGGTTATGCCTGATGATACGGAGATTGTGGATCAGGAGATGACGGGTTCTGCGTCCCGGATGAGGAGAAGGCAGAGGAAGGATAGTTTGGTGGAGCTGGATTTAGGGAAGAATGTTGGGAGGTTGCATAGGGTTAGTATAGATGGGCGGGGGGAGACGTTGTTGCAGAGCCATGAGGTTGAGCGGGAGTTGTGATGGGGTTGTTTTGCTGGCTTGTTGTGTTGGTTACCTAGGTAGGCCTTGGTGAGCAGCTGGATGTCGTTAGATTACGAGTGAAGAGCATGTAACTGCAAATGCAGATAGATCGCGACCGCATTCGCACATAAGATGCGAATGGGTATAGCGCGGAAAGTAGACGCAGAACTCGCTAGTCTCGCCATTGTGTCCTGCCTCCAAAGAGCCTTCGTAATGGCAACCAGGATACTCAACTCAACATCTGAAGAGCCTGCTAGTCGCAAGCCACACTGCATGCATCTCTCCATTCCCTGAAAGCCTAGTATCTGAATCAGACCCCAGCACATCATACGTAGCAAAAGCGTAGCGGTGGATCCCGCCGCCAAGTGACAGCCTCACATTCGCATCTGCGGTCGATTGGTCTGGGTGTCTTGCCGTAGCGCAGCGTGCGCAGCCAGACCCTGACAGCGGGTCCCAGGGCCGGAACTTTATCATGGCCAGGTCACATCTGTCGTCTCCACATACGAGTCGAGCGCGCATATGTGGGCGTGTGTCATGTCGATGTCGGAGAGATGGGATGGTTGGGAGAACTGGGTGGCTGATGCAGGGAGATGCTAGCGCTGGTGGCTAGCGCGGTCTAGTGCGCCCCGCAATAGGAGCTTGCGTGCCGCTGACTTTTTGCTTTTCTTCAACACGGAAGTAACAGCTCGGACTCATATTTTTTCCTGCTTTGTGAAACACAGCTGTCGCTTCAGACCTTGATGCGGGCAATCGTATAGTTTGTCTTGTGATATCTATCTCTGGGCCTCTGTTGGAAACGTACCTAGGTACTTCGTGGCAAAGGCGAGACAGCCCAGCGCGCGCCACACTGTCTACCCAGCACGCGCCACACTATCCCCCCGGGGGATAATAGTGTGGCGCATCCTCGAAGCAACAGCGCAGACGCTGACCTGACTAAACACGAGGAGCATGACCTATGCACAATATTCCATTCTCTGTTAGTTAATACCTTTGCGAGATGAAGACCGGACTACCTAGGTGAATTCTTCATTGTTAGACGCGAGAAGTAGTAGGCAGATTCGTGCGGTGAGTATACAGAAGTTGACTTTAGAGAGGAAAAATATCAACAACACTACCTAGGTAAAGCAATAGAATTGCATTACCGATGTTACCTAATGCATATCCAGACAAAGATCGTTACGTCAACTGATCCTTGATACCATCGCAATCAACGCCGCTCTCCTTCAACAACGCCTCAATCGTCCCAAGATCTTCCTTGGCCTTCGAAAGCGTCCTGCCAATCGACTCACGAACCTTGCGGTCTTCGCTGTGGTCCAGGCTCGCCTGCTCCACTCCCAATCGCTTCAGATCATCACCGATGGCCTGGAATAACGACTCAATCTTCTCCTCCAAGTACTCCTTGATCACCTGCTTTTGACGGTCGATGGCATTTTCCAGTTTTACACAAATCGCGTGGTATGGCGTTGTATCTTCGTCGCGAAGCAGTCTTTTGAACGTTCTATGTTGCATGACCTTACGTGTCTCCTCCTTTTTGTTTCCTCGCCTGATCTCTTTGCTCTTGTTGTATACATCGATCATGGCGTACCCGAAGTAGGAGATATCGTCAGTGTCAGTAAGACAGCGTAATCTCTGCTTCCTACGGTCGAAGTCAGCAAAAGAAGTGGGGCGTCCGCTCGCCGAGTACCTACTCGATGAACGTTCTCAGATTGGTAATGCACTTGGTTTTTATCGTGGTAACAGGTGCAAATTTCATGTAGATGCTGTTGAGGAGTAGGTTCAGCTCAGCAGGTCTAGAGTCTGGATACTGCTCTTCATATCGTTAGCTAGGGAGTCAAGTTTCGTATAGGCAACTCACTGCGAATGTCCTCGGCTAGCTTCCCCATTGCTGACAGGATTTCTCGTTTCACTGGTTCGATACTATTCCATAGAGCTTCATGGATGTTCTGAAAAATCGGGTTGAGGCTCATGCGGTGCTGCTCGAGCAACTGATGGTTCCAACTGGGCTTGCCCTTTCTAGGCTTTTTGTAATTGCCTTGAACGCCATCAGTCGAACTTTCTATAGATGAGAAGGTGTCTATTACCTAGGTTGCCGACAAATGTTTTGTGCGTATTATGATGCCACTATAAGCGTTAGCAGGTATCTCTAAGATATTTTCAAATCCCACCTGAAGCCACACTTCGCACAGTTCCTCAGCACGTTCGATAAATGCAGGTAGCCGCGTACGCAAGGTGACCAGTAAGGGCTTTTCGATTCGATCCCTGAATACATCGTCGATGCATCGATGGACCTTCTTTACACATGTCTGGGACGGTATTAGTTTGGCTTTCGTGGCACTCTAAACCACTTACACTACTCAGATTTTCGACGCCACCTTCGATTTTGAGTTGGAACACATCAGTTCGTTTGTTGATCCCCATCTGCATGCTAAGCATGAGACCTGGTAATGTTGCGCCCACATAGCGGACTAGCTCTTCTACTCGCATGGGCGAGCATAACGAGATGAGATGTTGCTTCAATGCAGGTATCTCCGTGTCCTTGGGGCTGAGAGGAAGAAGGGCGGAATCGTGAGCAGCAATCCCCCTAATGTTACGCTGATAGTCGAAAGCGGACACACAAAACACTGCGTGAGGACGGCCTTTGCCCCGTGCTGCTGCCATAAGCCTTTCCTTCACGCGCCGGCTGCGTTCCTCAACAAGCACTTGCGCAATGCTATGTCCCAATTAGTATCAATAATGCCCGAATCCTCAGGCACTACACGTACGCTTTCTTAACATGCTTTTGCTTCAACTGGTTGCGTAGTATAGCTTCAGCGGCGGACGGGTCCAACTCTTCGTTCTGGAGCTGTTTGAGTTTTTCGTGAAGCCTCATATACGTATGCTTCTCGCCTGGGCTGAGCTTAGTGTGCCTGCTGGGGACTAGGCCAACGTCCTATCTTGGAGTCAGCAAGAGCGTCCTGATAGATCGATTCTTCGTACCTCAGAGAATGTAGCGACTACTGTCACAGGACGGTGACGCTGGATCTTCTCAATTTGATTGGGGAGGCTGTCGTCAGATATGATGCGACTAATGTTGCATGCTATTATGACGGACGAACAAGACGGTAGATAGTCGTCCACGCTGGCACGTGCAAGGCGATTCAAGTCGTTTCGACCTGGCGTGTCGGCGATGATGATGTGCTCGCTTAGGGCAAAGGGGCCGCCGATTTTGACAACTTCGGCGAAGGGCCAAGCGTCGCAACCTCTTCTTGAGTCATCGGCCGAGCGACCATGCGTGAATCGAGCAAGCTCATGCCACAGCTCTTCGGTGGTTCGTTTGTATATATTTGTATCCTGACAATCAAGCTCGTCGTACATGTCGCGAGCGCGCCTGATGAGCTGATCTCGTATATCATGTCGCACAGGTGACCGTTCACTGCTCAACAGGTACTCCTTCATGGTCTCCTCGTCTTCAAAATGGGGGTCTCCACGGAACAGTGCTTGGAAAAACCCTGTAGCTGTTTCCGTATCTGCCCCAGGAGAATCTGGGCCTGCAGGATCTGGGCTTTGTTCTCCATCTTCATGTTCATCTTCATGCTCGCTCTCGTCTTGATGTGACAAAAGCCCGTGGTTCCAGTGTTCGAAGTACGTCTCGATCCGCTTCTGTACAGATTCCCACGGGAGGAGAGAGATAATAGCGCGGTACTTGAAGCGTGAATCGTGATCGGCCCAGTGATGGTACTCCAGAATCACTCTGGTCAGGCTCTCGCCACTCTTTGCAGTTTGAACAACACCCTCGTCGCCTAACAGACTTCCGATAAGGCAAGATTTGCCTTGCCCAGTCTCGCCTATAATGCCAATTCGCATCGGCCCGCTGATGTAGGGTGAAACAGATTTTTCTGCTTCCTCAGCCAGTGGATCCCATGTATTGTGCCAGTGATTCTTTCCAAGGTTGATAGCAGCGATCAAAGAGGTGATGGTCTTCCCTGACTGTACCTCTGCCTCCTTGTATCTTGGGTCATGGAGGGCGACGCCTTCTGATCTGTGATCAGAATGGGGATCGTGTCTGTTACCGCATCCTTGAGTCAACAGCGTCGAGAGTTGTTCGTTGTTTTCGATCAATTTGAGGACGTCGATCGGTGAAGCGGATGAAAGATTCGGCTGCTGGGCCGACGCAGCTCTTGACTGATCGATATGGGCTCGACCATTGGTGATTCCGATCGATTCGCGGACTTGCTCACCCTCAATCGAGAAGTCTGAGTGTGTCTGGCATGGAACGGACGGTCGGGGAGGAGGCGTATGTGTAGTATGTCTCGCCACAGAGCGCTGTCGTGCTAGTGATCTCGATGTTGGGCTGGCATATCGGTGTGTTGACGAAGTAGTGGATGTTTGGGGGGTCAATCTCGATCGATACAATGAACTCGCACTTGTTGCTTCTGTAAAGGCTGAAGCGCGTGACCGAGCACTCATAGAAGAGCGAGGTTGTACTGAAGATTCCGCCGTCGATTGTTCCTCCATGAGACGATTGGAAGTTACTTCTCCAATACGAGATGTCTCCCGTGGAGGGAGTGGTAGAGGGGAGCGCGAACGGCGCTGCGTGACCGATCGAGATCGAGAACGATCGGTGTCGTCTCGTTCTGGACGCTGAGAGGGGCGGTATCGCGAGATATGATCACGATCCATATCGTGTAGCAGGACGAACGAACTGAGACTTGTGCATCAAAATGAATAACAAGACATCTTGGTGACAGAGAAGTAATGTTACGATATCGTCTGTTCAGAATCCCGATGCACAAGGTAGGAGAGGATCCACAAAGTTGCTTTGAAGTAACGCGCAGTAGTAGAAAGAGCTCTGTTGCTGAAGACTAAACTTCGATGAGAGTCGACTAACTCAACGCTGACGGGAATCTGGCGACAGAAAAGACTCCGGTTAAGTACTGGAGCGTGGGATCCCCTCGCACCCCCGATCAAACATGGAACCCTGCCATGTTGCACAGGCGAATCACCCAGGTAGTGTATGGAAGACCAGGCGTCTCCATTGCACTGTCCTCATGCAGCCACCCGTGCCAGATGTCACACTGTCGCAGTTCTGGAACGAGACGACAAGTAAGAGCGGTGAGGTCTGCTCTTCTCCATTGGTGACCCGTATGCACTGTCCATGGGAGTGATGCGGTCTCTGCACACAGCATGGAGCTGCATGTCGCCATCGCGATAGTGATTATAGTGCGTGATGACAGGGTGACGGGAACCCGTTATGTGATTGTGGGGGCATGTAGGTATCAGGTTGGTAAAGTAGCGAACCTTGGAAGTGTTTGTGGCTGGAGGCGACCTGCCATGTGACATGTCCCCAGAGTTCGACGGGAACTAACTGCTTAGCGTAGCATACCAGGCAGGCGTCGCCCTGTCAAGCTGGTACTGGATGCTGTGGAAGATTCCAGGGCTCTGGAGCCGGGATCGCCCGGAGAAGCCCTTCAAGACCTGGCAGTGGGGCAAAGACATCGAAGCATGGACGGACTATCTGCCCATTGCAATAGAAACGCGCAGGTACAGGTTTGAGTGACCTACCTATTTTCAACATGCGTTTAGAACTTGCTGCTGTTTGTTGTTCCCTGCGGTAATAGTCACGTAAACTTAGCTACCTAGGTACCTAGGTAGCATACACTAGGACACAATAACGCGACACTACTAGTTGCAACCCCTCAGAATAACTGCCTAGTCAGTTTGACCTTGGACTCTAATCAGTAAATTCTTTGAAGCAAGCAAACGCGTATTGTTCTCCATTACACGATGCCTAAAGTCGCGAGCATCGACAACAGCGGGGTCCAGACGCGTCGCGTGTGCCTGCACCCAGGTTCCAACGGAAGGTGACCGGCCATGCCGTAAGGCCTTGCGATGGCTTGCATACGCGAAGTCAATGTTTCACAGCCTTGTATTGGAAGATCCACACGGGGAGCCGGCATGGCTGGTAAGAAACAGGCTGGAGGGTGTATTCGGCTTGGAGGCTACCCTTTTGAGCCTAGCAACTGCCTATATCGGCCTAGCAGCTTTTAGGGAGCACGTGACTTTAGGAAGAGAGTTCCGTGGATAGTACCTTGTTTTGGTACCTAATGACTTTCACTTTTGTACACACGCTTCCTCTGTTTCTTGTTCCTGTTCTTCTTTGCTATCTCTTTCCCCATCTACTCGACATAAAACACCTCCTCCGTCTGCCCCCACCACCCGGGCCCCGTCGCGCTACCTTTCGCGCCCTTCACAGGGCTCTCTTGCATCTTATCCGTCATCTTCCACCACTTCTGCACGACCTTGTTCTCCGCCATGCGTGCCATATCTTCGTCGAAGTTTTCGCCGACGTATTTGAAGGACGCGAAGAGCATGGGGCGGGGGAAGAGGTTCATGTATATCGAGTCTAATCGAACAAGTTAGCAAATCTTCCTCAGTCTGATTGATATGCACCTCGGATAAGTAATAAGCAACGTACAGTCCTTAATATTCGAGTCCTTAATCTGCTCCAACACCTCCGGCCAGACTTCCGCATGGCATTTCTTGTATTCCTGCACACACTCCGGTTTTAGCCAAAGCCATTGGCCTATTCTGCGGGGACCTTGGTCTTTCTTGTCGAGCGCGTCTGGGTCTTCTCCGTTCTTGATCGCCATTTCACGGGCTACTTTGCGGCGAGTTTGTTCTTCGTTTGCGAGACCGCCCGATAGAGCGAGGACGGGGTCCGTAATAGCTTGCCACATTGGCATTGTGGAGTTGGATTAAGGCGCTTGGTTGTTGATGTGACGGGAAGGTGGTTGGAGTATTTGGTGGTTTGGGCGGTGGTGATGTTGTAGCGGGGAAATTGGTAGAGCTATAGCTTTGGAGGGGTAATTGTCCGTCTTAGCTATCTTCTCCTATTGACGGGCCGTCGCGTTTATTTATGTGAGCGCGTTTTGGTCGGAACATCATGTGCCGAGGGGGCAAAGCTTGGTGGAGCTTGTACGGTTCGGAGTGTGTGGCAGTGAACATGTCAGTGTGGGGTACAGAGCTGTACGCCTAATCAGGTATGACGATGTTTGAAAACAGGTTGTGAGATTGAACGAGGCTCTTGCGGCCCAGGGCTTGGCTGTGAGGCAGAATTGTGGGCAAGGCTGGAGGCCTGGATGATTTGTGGAGAGGAGGTAGATCATGGGATGGAAGCTTGGGTGGAGCTTTGATGGCTGGGTTGTGGCAGTGACGATGGCGCGTGGGGCAGGTACGCTAGAACTTCAATTGTTAGAGGATGCGTGTCCAGAGAGCTGCACCAACGTCCAGAAAACACTATATTCGACCTTCGCAACGAGATCGATGCATCAAGGTACCAGTTCCACGACAAATAGCCCAGGAAGAATGCGGGAGCGAATGCCAGACGATGCAGAGATTGCCGGACTACCTTGAGAGGTGAATGCGACGGTCGCGACGTTACGTGTATCTCCATTAAGGCCTACACTTGACTTATCCTGGTGTTTGGTAAGCTTTCAAGGTAATGTATCCCTCCAAAAGATATGGATGGCCGAGATTCACACGGTCTGCGCTGTCTCGGGATGTCGTCGTTCCAGGTTTGGCACTTGCCAATCTGGCACTCACTTTCCTCTTTTACCGACGTCATTTCGATATAATGGTGTCTGAAGCCATCCGTCTCTTCTTTGAATGTTTCGAGTCCTTGAATCGTTTAGCTGTAATATCGAAAAACGTCTCCAGGCAGCAGGGAAACTCAGTGTCCCATCGGTGTTGTCATCAAAGTCTTTCGCAAGACGAAAGCGGTGAAGATGCTGCGAGAACATTTGACCGGACTTGTGGGTAATGCTGGAGGTGTTCAGTTTGTTTCGAGGCTTCTTTGAGGTTTGCCGTCAGTCATTTTCGTCTCCTACTCGGCGTCGCCAGTGGCGATCTTTCACCTCGATGTCGACGTCCACGCCTCACTCCATCCTCAACCGCGCATTGCAAACGCAAAAGATGAGCTCTTCTGGTATACTGACATCGAAAGTGAAGGAGAACGAGCGTTAGTCAGCCCCTCGCTTGGCGCACTGTGGGAGTCAATATACGCCTTTGCCTGCGTTTGTTTCTCCGCCCACACCAGTCTCACGGTCCCACCTTTATACGCGCGAAGTTCCCAGTTCAGTAGCTTCACATCTATTGGTCTCTACTCGCTCTCCCTCTGAAGTCGCTTTCTACCCATGTCTCTGCCATTCCACCTCGATCCGCAGGCACATCTCCAGGGTCTGCGACTGCCTCCGCTACCACTCACTCATCTGCCTTTCGCTCCTCCGACATCATCTGCCGCTGCTATGGCTGGCCAATCCGTATACCCGCCCCCCGGAGGTCAAGAAACTCCTCGCAGCGAAGTAGATCTGGACTTGGGTACGTGACCCCACCATCTAACCCACTCCCACTGACGCAGAGTCTAGCCCTTCAGCTGCAGGAGCTCGAGATCAACACCCTCAAGGACACTGTCGCCGTCCAAAAGGATGCGATCGCCGACCACAGGGAAGGATCGAAAGATCTCCGCGAGGCCGTCAAGGACCTTCGCGACGTCATCAAGAATCTTCGGGAGCGTAATGGCGACCTTCATGAGCTCAACAGCCACCTCTCTGTCAAGAACGCGGCCCACGTCGACCAGCGAGACAAGCTTCAGAAGACCAAGATTGAGCTGGCAGAGCTTCGGGATGAGCATGTTCAGCTTAGCGACAAGCTGAACGACAAGGTCAAGGAACAAGAGAATGTTATCAAGGACCTTTGCGAGGCCATCAAGGACCTCCGTGAGGACGACGACAAGCCATCTACAGCGCAAGCATCTCACTTGGACTACGAGTTCAATCTAAAGAGCATGCACTCAGAGCTGAACCGACTGAAGCTTGAGGGTGTCGAGCGTTCTAACCGTGAGGGCGAGATCATCGACGAGTTGAACGCCAAGGTCAAGCAGCAAGACGATACCATTCAAGGCCTTCAGAAGCGCATCGACCGCGGCAAAACCAGTTACAGCCAGCAGCGCACTGCTATGAACGAGCTCACTGTCGCACTCGAGGCCAAGGAAGCAGCGTTGCAGGCATTGAAGGGTGAACATGAGGAACTTCAAGCTACACACGGCAGCATGACCGGCGAGTATAACACTGCTATGTACGATCTTCGTGTGACACTCGAGGCCAAAGAAGCAGAACTGCAGGAACTCAAGGACGAGCTGAAAGAGCTTCGTGACTACTACGAGCAGCAAGACGAGACTATCGATACCCTGAACGCCAATATCAAGGACCAGCATGACGCTCTCACCATGTCGGAGCAGTACGTACAAGGACGAAACAACATCATCGCGGAGTTGAAGAAGGAACTTGCCGAGGCCAAGAAGAGTGCAAGTGTCAACGCACTTCAAGATCAGGCCAAAGAAGGAGAGTTGCAGGAGCTGAAAGACAAGTTGAAAGAGCTTCACGACCACTACAAGGGCGACGAGGAGTTCATCGAGCAGCTGCATGCCGCTATCGAACAGCGAGACAAGACTGCCGTTGAGCTGAACCTTAAGGTCAAGCAATCGGGTGATTCTCTCGCCCGGTCGCAGCAGCGTGTACGTGTCCAAGAGGGTGAGATCAAGAGCTTGAAGAAGCAGGCAGACTGGACGAGTGACACCATCGAGACCCTGGAGAGGCGGATTGAGACAAGGGACATGGAACTTGAACACTGGCAGCGGGAAGTTGGTATGGGGAAGTAGGAAGCCTTAGAGTGAAGGCTGGAAGTCGAGGCGAAAAAACTGTAAAATAACTGGTATCAGAATGAGCTATAGAGCCACCGACACACCGATGTGTCTTCCACCAAATGAACCGAGTAAACCCAACACATTCGGAACCCTTCTCAGACCCTGTCTGCTGTGACATCCATAAGAATGTGAATGCCGCAAATCCTTCTGCTACAACTCTTTCCCATACTAATACACTGATGTCGGCTCCACGCCACCCCCTCGCTGTTCTCACACCCCTACAACGGCTGGTAATCCGTGCTAGTATCTCCAACCCAACCATACCACAGCGCAACCACCGTATTCGCCGCAACCCAGACACCCGCGTATCCCACAGCACCGACAACATCGGTGCCAATGAGCGTCATACACCGTTGAACGGTACCCGCGAACAAGAACGCATTCAGAATAACCGTCTGCTGAATAAGCGTCCTTGTCCTCTTACTATAGTTAAAGAAGTTATGCTCAATAGTCTTCGGCAGCGTCGCAGTACTCGGATCAAACACCTCCACGGGCGTCTGCGCACCGGATCTTTGCGCCGCAAAACTCGGATTAAGCAAGAACGCCTTCGCCGCCCAACCCACCACAATAGTCTTCGCCAGAATCGACACCGGAGACTCATTGTGCGCCGCTTCCAGCGTAGGGATATCGAAGTACTGGACCAAGAACGTGTTCAGGAAACCGCTTGTCTGGCCCGCCCACAGCACAACAATGTACACGGCGATGGCGAGCATAGACGACGAAACTTGTACTTGGATGCTGTTGAGCAGGAAGCGGTTGCGCAGGGGCTCGTTGTTGCGGTGGACGATGGAGCGGGGGCGGAGGAGGTATGTGGGTATGGCGAAGGAGAGGACTTCGATGGTTATGTTGGCGGCGGCGGTGAGAGCGCTGATCTCGTAGTAGGTGGTGAGGAGGTAGGTGAAGGGCGCGTAGGTTAGGACGGTTAGGGCGGAGACGTCGAAGACTATCCTCTCTGTTAGCAATGCATTCCATCATTCACATCATTCAAAAGTAAGAGGTAAGGGGAAAGCGCGTCTTACAATCATAGTTAAAATACCACGTCATCCACACAGTAACCCAGCGCATCGCGACGCGCGCCGCCGGCGAGTAAAACGACGTGACATCGTCCTCTTGCGGCACCTTGCTCACAGCACCCAGTTCCGGACGCAGGAAATTCGCCGTAAACTCCCACAGCAGCATGTTGATGCCCATGTTCAAGCTGATGAGAATGGGCACGCGCAGCGCCGTGGGCAGACGCGAGCGCGCGGGTGCGCGTTTGGGTGCTGGGACGACATCGGGCGCGGTGCGCTCGATGGTTGCCGGTGGTGCCATTTATCGCGTTTAGGTTGTGGTTGTGAATAGAGAGAGGGTGGTGATGGGAGGGACGGAGAGGGTAAAAAGAAAGTTTGAGGTTGTGCGCGCAGGGCTGGGATGGGGTGGGCGCGATGGCTCCGTGGGGATGAGGGATGGAGCTTGTGTTGGAGCTAGTACGAGATCTTTGTTTTGGACCTGCGTCATTGCGCGACGGGCAAAATAGTGAACCGTGTCCGTGCGCGAGGCAATCTCGACATATTGAGTGATGTTTGTACTGCGAAGAGGTGAATGTACAATCGTACTGCTCGATGGCTACATATCTAGCCATAAAGTACCACGCGAAGATCCACGACTTGATCGTACTCAGCGTCGCGATGGGAATACAATGCGACATGATGGTTAGCTGTGGACGAGATGAAATACAACCATGGAAGGCATTCATTAGGATATCCGCGATCCTCCACTGCGTCATCTAAACAAGATACCTAAAATCACCCATCTGCTTCCTCCCCTCCTCAACACTAACCCCCTCCACAGCAGCCGTCTGCTCCGCAACATCCCCATGCACAACCCACGCATCCGTCCCATCATCCAACCTCTTATTCAACCTCACCAAAATAACCCTGAAAACAAAGCATCCCGCAATCGTAACCCCAAACATCGCCGTAACAACCCCATAACTGTTCCTGTACCCATTATCCGACATATTCCACACATAACTCCCAGCAATGTTGCCGAGCTGCGAGAACGCGTTGATCATGGCGATGGCGACGGCGCGCTTGGCGGGTGGCCGCGGGAACGAGGACGAGATCCACGAGTAGAAGACGATGAAGCCGGCGTAGGAGGAGGCTTGCAGGAAGAGGGCGACGTAGCGGCCTGCGGTGTTTGATGTGGCCATCGAGATGACGAAGCCGACGATGCCTAGCATGATCGGGCAGACGATGTGCCAGAAACGTTCTTGCTGTCGATCCGCATGCCACGCGTTGATGAGCGAGACGACGCAAGCGAAGGCCCACGGCGGCGCGGACATGAGCAGTGTGGTGATGTAACCGAAACCCAGGGTGCGTGTAAGCGTAGGGAAGAAGGCGTTGAACGACAGTCCAACTACGTATGCCGTGAACGTGAGCATCATAACATAGATCTTAAGATCCTTGACCGCCATGAAGAAACCCGCGAAAGCAGATTGCTCAGCCGAATCTTCATCTGCCTCGCCGACATCCTCAGTCATGCGCAGGACAGCGACGGCGCGCTCTTCCTCGGTGAAACCCTTTGAGTTGTGCGGTAGATCCGGGAGGATGAAGATGGCGGAGATGGCGATGAGCATCGTTGCTGCGCCCTCAATCCAGTACAGCCATCTCCAGGCGCGGTGGCCGAGCGTGCCCTCCATATTTCCCAGTACCGCGGCACCGACGAGGGAGGAGAAGGCGTTTGAGATCAGGTTGCCGCAGAAGAGAATCGCGTTTCGTAGAGTCAATTCGCGGCGCGTGTACCATTTCGACAGGATAAGCAGTGCACCAGGAAGGAAGGCGGCTTCCACAAAACCAATGAAGAAACGGATTGCGACCATGCCAGCGAAGTTTGTCACGTTTCCGGATAGAGTAGAGATCATGCCCCAGATGAGCATAACAACAGCGATGTAAAGCGACGGACGCGGAATCTTGTTGATGATCATGTTGGACGGGACCTGCATTAGGATATATCCCACGTAAAGAATAGACAGACATGTGCTGTATTGCGTGGGGCTGAGGTTGAGGTCTTCTTCCAGACCACCCAGACGGGCAGCGGCGATGTTGTTGCGGTCGAGATCTGGAGGCACTGGTTAGTGATGGTTCCTTTTGTCGTATGTGCTGATGAGGTGGTTACTCACAGTTCATAATATAAATCAACACAAAAAGCGAACATCTCGCATCCAACTTCCTCTTCAACTTCTTCTCCACCTCCGCCCTCCTCTCTGGACTCATATTCGCCGCAAGCCCACCAACCTTTCCTGCGTGATGGTGTTCGGAGATCTGTGCCGCATCGTGGGCGGAGATCTTGTCGTCCGCTGGGTACTGTGTCGACACCATCTTTACCAGAGGTCTTTTCAAACGGTCCCAATTCCCAAGCAGTGTTTCTTTCCCGGATGGATGGACAGACCGGAGGTAAACAGACGTTCTATGAGAGAGGTCTGGGGTCCCCTCCTTAATATACACAAAGGCAAGTCAGCTCTTCCGACTTTGCGGTTACTCCAGATTTTTGTGGTAACCTTACCCCACTATACGGAGCTTGGCTTGTCTAGCATGCAGGTAGTTCGCCGTCAACCAAATACCGTTGCATTTTACCCCGACCACCTACGGACGGCGTGCATGATGCCCCAGTCAATTGTCGAATTTTTCTGGTGGTAGCTCGTGTGTTCTGATTAGTCTGCGCGCACGACTCATGCAGCGATGGAGGCGATGGGAAACCAGCGGCGATTTGTGCCTGCGAAAGAAGTCTTTCCCCGCATTAGCTCGTCCTCCGTCCCTGGTCATCTGGAGTCGTCGCCGTCCATCCAATTCCATCCAATCTCATCAGCCAGCCCTCCCGATATTGAATGATTGATTAGTAGGCCCAGCACTTGGCCCGCCATCTTGAACACATCCAAGAACGCGACCAAGACGTCCAAGGAGATGAAGTTTCGCGCGATCCGGGCTTGATCGCACTTGCATGCTGCGCCCGGTAATGCTACTCGGCTTCTGGCTGGGGCTTGTTCAGAAGCCGATGGCGACGTCGCGTAAGTAGGTAATGGATTTGGATGGGCACGGGCTGGCAGGATCCGACAGCCGGCCGCGTTAATGCATGCCGAGGCGAAGCGAAGCGAAGGGAAGGCGCATGCGTCACTCCGACGAGGGAAGGGAAGGGCGGCCTGGGGACACGGCAACGGGACGGTGTTTAGGTTGGGGATTTGAGCCGCATGCAAGACTCACGTCGGAATCGCAGTCTGCGACCTCGGTAATTCACGCCCCAAAGAGTCGCGCACTACTCTTCCAATCATCTCCAATGCCGCACACAAATCCCCCATTCGCCACATTCCCTCCACGCCCACAGCAATCCCCTCCCCAGACCACCCACACCAGCACCATCCACCGACAAATTGCGGAGACTGGAGACTCCGCTTGCTCCAAGCGGAGAAAGACGCACATCCTCATGTGACGCCGAGCCGCACGTTCACCGCCTTGATCCAACCATCGCGTACTTGCACCTGGAGATAGCACCGGTTCGTCGTGATTGTACGTAAATCGCCGACGAGCAGCTCCGCGGGTGAACTTCGGATCGGAGGTTGCAAGCGGCACGCCAATGCTTTGGTGTCGCATGCGGGTTTGGTGGGTCGGTTTTTGAGGACTTTCATAGACGGTCGGGTGATTAGTGATCGTGCTGCCATAAGACGATGATCATGGACTCTTGGTATCTAGATGTTTTGGGGGTTGGTAAAGTATTAAGACTGTTGGCACAGAACGATGACATGACTCGAGGCAACCGACATTTCTCGTGAAGTGCCGAGCGGGAAAGAGGAGGACGAGCATGGGCATTCAGCCATGCCTTTTAGACGACGGTCATGTCGCCATCGACCTCGGTTTTCTCGTGTGTCAGGATCAAGGCATACTGCCGGGTAATATGATGAAGGACCAGGATCGACGGAGATCATGGACTTTTTGTTGAACCACTTGGATGAATGCGGCGCACTCAGAGCTCAGCCATGCGCAGCTATCCCACTCTTTTGAGAAATGGAAAGTCCACGAGTGGAGTATGAAAGAGGAAGGGGGCGGCCAGAAGAAGAGCTCTTATACTCGCCAGGGAGGCGATGCTGCTATTTTGTCTGCATGACACAGTTTTGCGTAGCACGAAAGTCTTTCGGGTTTGTTGCATGAGAACGCGCAGACAGGGGAAGAGGAAGGACATGGCAGTCTTTGTGGTTGGCTTTGGAGGAGACAACGGCATATGTTGGTGATTAACTGATTTTCTGGTCTCACCCAGGCAAACACATGATTGTCTCTTTTCCCCTTTTAGGCTCATGCTCGACGGCGTCAGCGAGCACCCGCGATATTAGATTATACTTTTCGAAGCTGAAGAAAGCCATGCAAATTCGTGATGCAGTTTTTGGAGGACGCGACCAGGCGCAGACATTGCGTGGTTTCCATGTCATTTTTGGAGGTTGGCAACTAGAGAGTGTGATAGGAATGAGAAGGTTGTCAGTCGGAAGAACGGATTTTATACCCAGCTGAGGGGTGCACCATTGAAGCTTAAAAATCTTCGATAGAAGTTCTGGTACAAGGCGGCGAGCCAGGATGCTTCCCGACGGGAGAACCATATGTCCTTTTTGGTCAGGATTTAGATTGGACGCACATAGCAAAGGCGGTCTTACTTTTGCTTGCTCCAACATACAATTTGAAAGATGCGTTTTCGGATGACTGGGAGAAGTTGGTCCGAGACATATAGATGAAGCCCGAGGCTTTAGACAGACGGAACGAGGGAACAAACATAGGCGCTCGCACAAATATTTTGGGAGATTGAAACCCAGAGAAGTAGATATGAGGGAGAAGGTTCTCAATCGAAAGGACAGCTTTTATATCTGTTCAAGCACCAAATCCGGGGTACTCTCCATGTAGGCCTTTTCTGCGCGTTTTGAATCTCAGTACGCCAAATTGGACGTAGGAATAATCTGGAAGAGGAACACATGTACGGCTCAGCGCGCTCTTTTGGCCGCACTGCATCGTTTGGAGACTGCGATGATCTTTTGATGTTCAACTAGGCGACTCGGCCAATCATGTAGTCAATCTCTTTGTCATTTCGGAAACCGAGAGGCAGGCGCAGGACATCCTGGCATTCATCGTCGATTTTGATAGAGGGAAGGAAAAAGTGATTTTGGAAGAAGTGAAGCCCCGTAGGAGCGAGAAGCTGTTTATCTAGTCGTTGCAGAGCCAGGACTAGACTGCAAAAGGCTTCAACCTTGCGCCGACAAGAGTTCAGCAAAGTGGCAGGAGATTTCCGTGGTTCTCGAATTATCATGCTTCAGTCTTTCGAAATGCTCATGAAGGGAGAAGCGGCTGATTTTCGAAGCTAGAAGGCTTCGTACTGCTTGTTTGGAAGACGCCGGCAGGCGCAGGACATGGGGCTCTCAAAGTACTGTTTTTGGAGATAATAGTGAGGAAGGTGTGTTGAAGAAGAGAAGCATTGCAACAACGAAGGTCCTTTTATATCCCCTCTGCGGAGCTATGACTAGAACAGTCTGAGTGTTCAGCCATGATGAGGTGCACCATCACGGTCTTCAACCTGGTCGTGGCGCGTTTCCATAGATAAAGTAGGGATCAAGTTCGTCTCAATCTCTCGCAAGACTCATGCAACGATTCTTGTTGGGTTTTGGAGCATGAAGGCGTCACCCAGCCCTTTTGAAAGGTACTGGGCAGGCGCAGGACATAACTCGAGGGGTATGCCATTTTGAAAAGACCACAAAGAATGTTTGGTGAGAATAGAAGAGCTGCAAGAGCGAGGAGGTACTTATACAGCCATCATGATTAAATCCTTCCAGCGTAGCCTCTTAGGGACGCTGCAAGTATTTAGAAGGTGCCAGCAAGTTCTCATGCGATCGAGGCATTTTGTTTTCGTTCTCTTTCCGAGATTCTCATGTGACATAATCAATGCACTTTGCAGCATCATAATGCTACGGACCATTTTTGAACGACGCCGGCCGAAGGCAGGTCATGTCGCGAAGACCTTGTGATTTTGATGGAAACAATGGGGAATTCATGTGAAAAGAGTAAAGCTCTGTCGGGCTGGAGAAGCTTATATAGCATCTTCACGATCGAGGCTAGACAGCATATCCCGCCGAAAACGCAGTTTTTGAAGTCCGAGCAGGTGGACAGAAAGTGTCATTTCAGACTGTTCAGCTGGTTTTCGGGTGGATTTTGACGTCCTCGCTGGACATACTCATAGACGAGCTGTACAACCCTTCCAAAACATAATAAAATCGTCGAATGCCTCTTGTTCTCAACACAGCCAGTCGCGCACATGCAGCGGGGCGTTGACCTTTTTGGTATTTATAAAGATGGGAATGTTGTAAGAAGCCAGGTGCCAAACCCCCGGAAGACTTTATAGGTACCCAAGATATGGACTGCCTCTTCGACAAGCTCAACCAGACACACATGTATGCTCTTGCGGTTATTTTCATGATGCAGGTCGACGAGGAGAAAGCAGATGAGACTTTCTAGAAGGCGTGACTTCAGCAGAATGGCGATCATTTAGGTCCTTTTTCGATCTCAGCGCGTCCACAGACATGCGCTGAAGCCAACCTATTTTTGGTATTTTGATAATCTGAGAGTGTAGTGAGAAGCCAAGCAGCCAAAGCCACGAAATGAAGACTTTATACGCATTCCACACCTCAAGCTAGTGCTTTCTCGATCCCAGTTCAGCCGGCCTCACATCCGTGCTGACTGCCGTATCTTTCGTGATCCCGAACGACGAGAAAAAAGGCGAAGAACGATGTTATAAGACGCCGGGACTTTGGCCACATGAATAACCTCTGTGGTTGTTTCTGATCCCAACGCACCCGCAGGCATGGCGGCGCTCTGATAGTATTTTAGTGATTTAATAGATTGAAGAGGATATAGGAGTGTATGTGTTGCGGCAAGCAATGCAAGAAGCATGAACCATCCCTTCTTCGTCTTTGTTATCGCACTTTGACCCGGAAGCAGACATAAGAACGTGAGACTCTACTTTGGACATCTGGTGATGGCTTTCGACAGTCCGGGACTCTATCACCATCAAAAAGCTACTCGACTGTTTTTTGTGGTAGATCTCGGCCCGGCCTGCCACACACGTATTTTGAATTCATCGAGTTGGGTGTTGCAAGCAACAGTAT